TAAGTGGGGGGGGGGGCAAGTGTTTTCGTGTACAGAATACATTCTGTGCCACAAAAAGCATTTTTTTTATGACGAAATCAAGTAATTCCTTGTTTGCTGCCTTCTGTCACAGAGATCAAAAGGAATGTTTCATTTTGTGCACAGAAATTAGTGGACGAAATGCATTTTGTGAATTAAAGAAAGTCAGGTTGTGTGACATTTCGTGAATGTCTGAGTGATAGTCAAGGTGGATCGCCGATGACTTTGATTTGATTTTGATTGCCGACTTTGATTTTGCAGATGTGTGTAATTATGTTTAACTTGCATTTACGTGTAATAAAAACACAAGTAGGGCAGCATTGTGGTGCAGCGGTTAGCGCTGCTGCCTCACAGCGAGAAGGTCCTGGGTTCGATCCCGGGTCCTATCTACGTGGGGTTTGCACGCCCTCCCCGTGTTCGTGTGGTTTCCTCCCACGGTCCAAAAGCGTGCAGGATAGGCTGATTGGTGAGTCTAAGTTGGCCCAGTGAGTGTGAGTGCCCTGCGGTGTGTTGGCGACTGCCCAGGGTTGGTTCCCGCCTGCCCCCATTGTTCCCGGGATAGGCTCTGGTTCCGCCCACAACCCCAGTTGTGATTAAGCGGTTTCAGAAAATGGACTGATGGAAAAATACAAACAACTCCTGGACTCATACTCTAAACTGTTGTATGTATTCATTTGTTTCACTTTTTTTCATTACACTTTATATATTTTTAAGCCAAGCCAGTGAAAAACCTCGGCGCCGATTCTCTCCAATTATAGGCTATGTTACCATGCCACTTTCTCCTGAATAACTGTGTGCCCTATAGTTCACAACTGGGGTAACCTGCATGTAATATGCAACAATAAAATGCCGAATATTAATAGATTAGCGCAAGGAGCCACAGACTGTCTGCGGATCCTCGTAGAATCGCTGGAGTCGCAAACTGCTGCTGGAGTTACAGTGACTCAACCAGGTCCGCAGTGTGTCCAGGGGGACAACCAGGACAGGAGAGTCACTGGTCAACTGTCTATCGTAAGGAGTGTTCTTGTGATGCTCCTAATTAGTGATTAGTGAGTAAAAGTATGAGCCCTGGAGTTATTCGGATTTTTATTACATTTAAATGCAAGTTAAATGTAATGACATGTGTCTGCAAAATCAAAACCCTACTCCAACTTCTGGTCATTGCAAGGTACTACCCCCTCCCCTCAAGGCACCTGCTACGTACCTCTCCTGACTCAGCGAAAGATGAAAGGCATTTCATGACTCAGCAAAAGACGAAACACATTTTGTGGTACCTTTCGTGACTCAGCAAAAGACTAAATTAATTTCGTCCACAAAATGACTTTCTGTCATTCACAAAATGCATTTTGTGCACAACATGACTCTTTCATTCACGAGATGCATTTCGTCCACGAAATGACTTTCTTCTGTCCACAAAATGCAAAGTGCTGATATCAATTGAGCACATAAAATGAAACATTCCTTTTGATTTCTGTGCACGAAAAAGTTTTTGTCGCTTTTGTGGACAGAATGTAGCAAGGCATTACTTGATTTCATCATTAAACAATGCTTTATGTGGCACAGAATGTATTTTGTATGCGAAAATGAGCACTTGACACTTGCCACCCCATATCCGGCGGTCTCTCACCTGTAGCAGTTCGAGTGTCATTGGAATGTTCTTCAGCTCTCTGAGCAGGTCCAGAGCTCCGGACTGTGAGTGCAATTTCAACAGTTACTTCATTTTGTTTCTACAGCAGCAAAATAATTATTATAATGCATTAGTGCAACCACACAGTCCCAGCAATATATTCTGAATTGTTCAGACAACAGCAGCTAAGTGTTTCATAGCCGTTACATTTATTGAGCTATTGCTTTTATCCACACACGTAAAATTGAGGAAGCAGGCTCAGACAGTCTATGGAGTATTTTGGGGTTAAGGGCCTTGCTCAAGGGACCAATGGTGACATCACTCTGCCGACCCTGGGATTTGAACCGGCTACCTTCCTGTCACAGGCACAGAGTGTTAACCCACTGAGTCACACGCTACATTCTAATTACATGTCAAGGTAGTAGTATAAATATTGTATTGCATTATTGCACCTTAATACTTCAGAGTATTAAGTTCAGAGTTTCAGATTGTAAATACTAAAGTCAATTGCTTAATTTTAATTACTCAATTCCGGGCTAAGGCAGCCGAACAGGTACTGTGTTGTATTTCTGCAACTGCACACAGTCCCAGTTGGGTATTCCAGATGATTCCCGGCAGATGCATCCCAAGGCCGACAGACGCATGGCGAAAAACGCCGATGGGGGGGGGCGGATCACGACCGGCCATCGCCGCCGCCACGGTCCTCCGTGCGCCCGCACGTTCCCCGGCAGCTTGGCGCCGAGGGAGGTGCGCCGCCGCGGCATGATGTCTAACTACCAGCGGGAGGAGCGCGGAGGCCTCGGATCCGCTAAGCCGCATTTTAAAAACTGGTGTACATTTTTCTCTTTAAAAAAAAAAAAAACAGCGCGATTTCATACAAACGCACCCAGGCGAGCCGGGTATAAGGTCATATAAAGCCGGCTGAAGACACCCTTTATATGCATATGGGGTATGCCGGGGGAGCTAAAATAAAGGCGATCAGCCGGGCACCATACACCGCGGATAAGGGATAAGGCCCTCTTTAAATACTTAGTCACTTTAATTTAACGTACAGCACGAAAGTATAAAACGGTCCCCGATCATGGATATTTATTCGGTGATCTAGCCTCATGTGAGCGGCTTCCCGACATGATCCCCTTCTCATCTCTCACCCCGTTTTTCTTCTGCGCCATCTTATCCATTTTCTTGGCGATCCGGATGATTTCCTCCTCCTCTCTCTTGCCCATCGCTCGCTGCCTGGCGCCACAAGTCTTATTTAATAAAAAAGAAATGTACAAATAGTTAAAAAAATAAAAAAAAAACAAAAGGAAAAGGGTCAGGCCAGCAGCTCGGCGACAGTGCACAGGCGCATCAGTAGGCTGGGCGGGCACAGCTGGCCCGGAGAGGGAAGGATCAGCGACTCGGCGAGGGGGCCGATGGCCGATGCACTGATTGCCGCTGAGTCTGCGCACGATCGCGCTCCTCTCCGCCTCCTACCTGAGGCCACTTTGCTTTCCCTATAAACCTTTCCCTCTTTTTGGCACCATCCTGTCTGTTTTCCCACCAAAGGACCGAAAATGTATTAATGGTAAATGTACAAATTTGCATCAGATTAACTTGCTTTGCATTAAAAGACAAAAAAAAATTCGGTCTGTGCATTGCAATTCTACATTTTTTATTAGTATTAACTGTGTGCCAGGATTTACTGTCACAATTTGCGGGATAATTTAGTTGAAATTTGCGCTGCTTTAGTTCTGCGCATGCGCACTGCCGGTTCTGTTGAGACGCCTCGGTTTATGTGTGATTGGAATATATTTCCTGATAACGGGATGGTCTCATAAACATACCATGAAAATGTGCCTGTTATGTTAAATAGCCTATCTATAATCATAATATGGTAATGGAGAAATACGCTCATTTCCAGGGCTCACTTGGTGAAAAAGTTGCCAAATTGTATAGTTAAATTTAACCTACTCTTACTTAGAGGTGCTGAAAATGCCAGACTGCAAGAAATGAATGCATAGCGACTGACTGACAAAAACACATGCCAATCTGTTGATTATTAGTATTTATTAGGATCGTTCCTACAATGATGCAAATCCGGGAAACGACGGTGCTTCTGTAAAAATATTCATGAACATGTAATCCAGTCTCCGCGCGCCTGCCCGATCACTAGGTCGGAATACTCGGCGTTTCTTAATGGTTTTGTCACGATCGGTTTGATGACTGGCTTGGTCGCTTGGTTTCAGTTACATCTGCAGAAGCTGAACGTTCAGTGGGACAGAGGTGCGGCCATGTCGTTGCACTGTAATTTTTAAGGGGATCACTGCTGACATGAAACTCTGCAAGGCTGGGGTCTCCCCTTCCGTTACCTGCTATCGAAAATGAAGTACGGTGCTTGAGGTGGTCCGGTACTCACCGATACCCCATAACAACACCTCTCTGTATTTCTCATCAGAGTACCCCATAGATACAGTATAATATTATATCTATGAGAGTACCCTAGCTGGCACCTCTCAATTTTGGCTGGTACTGAGTAACAAAGGGGAGTACCCGTACCTCTTTTTCCCCACTTAAAGCACTACGAGTAATACAACTAGTATAATGATAATATTAACAATAATTATTGCATAATTATAATAATTATCGCGATGGTGAAACCCCACATTCCCTCAATATGGTCATTGGCTTTACCAGTTAGTACATCTTATAGTGCCACCGCCATGCAAATATTTTTCAATCGACATGGTTGACGTCTTTTTTCTAAATTAGTTTCGATGAAAAGACCCCATTGCCGTCAAAGTGGAAGCCAAGGGTGTATATTTGGCTATGGACGGTATGGATATGTCTCTTAATATTGTAGGAGTTCCGTGCGTATTTAGGAGGGCGGGGGGTTCCGGCCTGATTCGGTCTCTATTAATGTTGAATCCAAACCCACTCCCCTGGTGAAAGCCGTGATAAAATTAAAAAGTCACAGCATGTTACAAATCACAACTCAAGACAGCGCCCCCTCCTGTTAATGAAGATGCTGTACAGGTTTGCTCTGATATAAGGAGGAAAAATAAATACATGCAAGAGTATGACGTCTACGCAAGATAATATGACAACGTATAAGGAGAAGTAATCGATACAGAAGCTAAACGTTAATACCTATATTTAACATTCGATTCGGGCTTTAATATCGATTAATGCAGGTTCTGTGAACTTGTGACCAGACCCGTGACCGGAACATGAAATACGAAGCTCAGTAAGGAGCGAGAGAGCCTAAAATGACATCCTTAATACAATTTAAAATTATCAGCCCCCGGTCCATTTAAAATGGATTTTGCTATACACTGTTTTGATCAGCATTTAATGACATATTGCAAACACAAGGTCTTATAGCATAATTTATTGTAAATCCATTTAATTCAAATAAGTAGCATTTCCATAATGGATTTCATTAAACATCCAAACGCATCTTTACCAAGAGGAAATGGCTTTTTCGTGATAAACAGCTATTTCCACAAGAGTTAGAACACAACACTAGCCATGTAGGTGCTGAAGTTCTGGGTCCCCGTCGCTCTCGCTGTGACTGTGGAAGTTTCATAAAGGACTGAGCCAGATGCTGAATCCCACAGCGTCTCCTGGGCTAAGACTCTGCTGTGGGGATGGTGGTGTGTCTACCGTTCAGCGACGTTAGCTTGTCTTAGCCACGCGACGGACCTAAGAGCTTAGAGGACTCAGCTTTCAGCCCGAGTTTGTGCTGGTGTGCGTTCGAAGGCCGACGTCATGAGATCAGCTGATCGGAGGGAGCTGCTTCTCGATGAACTGCTTGATGTCCATCATCTCCTGCAAGAAGGGTGTTGTGGTGAGATAAAGATACCCAACAATCCTGGAAAACCAGCAGGATTGTGCGTTGCTCAGAGTTGAGATTCTGGGACCATCACTGGAAGGTTGTTGGTTCAAATCCCATTTGGGCCCTTGAGCAAGGCACTTAAGCCCCAGTTGCCCTGGTTTGCCGTCTGACCCTGCTTTCTCAAGTTTAAGTTGCGTTACATAAAACTAAATGCTAAATAAATGTACATATATATACTATGTGGACAAAAATATTGGGACACACCTCTTAATCGTTGAATTCAGGTGTTTCTTTCAGACCCTTTGCCCCAGGTGTATAAAATCAAGCACCCAGCCATGCAGTCAGGTTTACAAACATTTGTGAAATGATGAGTTGTTCTGAAGAGCTCAATGCATTCAAGTGTGATTCTGTCATAGGATGCCACCTTTGTAATAAGTCAGTTTGTGAAATTTCTTTCCTGCTAGATATTCAACTGTAAGTAGTATTACTCTGCCACAAAATGGCAGACTACGTAAAGTAACAGAGCGGGGTCCCTGAGCGCTGAGGTACATAGTGTGTACGGTCGCCAACACTCTGACTCAGTAACTGCAGAGTTCCAAACTTCCTCTGACATTAACCCAAGAACAAAAACTGCACTCTGGGAGCTTCATGGAATCGGCTTCCATGGCAGATCAACTGCAAGCAAGCCTCACATCACCAAGCGCAACGCCAAGTGTCGGGTAGACGGGTGTAAAGCAGGGGTCCCCAACCACCGGGCCACGGCAAACGGATAACAGAGGCGGTTTTATTTTGGAAGACACTTCCGTCTGTGGCTCATAGGGGGCGATAGAGCGACGCACTTGGTGATTAGTTAAATATTGTGCACCTCATTAAAAGTATGGTTTCAAACAACAACTCTGCCAGTGTTCTGGATAAAGATCAAGGCAGAATATCCAGAGATTGCCAAAAAAAAAAAGCACTGAATGCCTTGCTTCCATTTCCAACAACCTATCATTGTCAAGCGGGATTCTCTGCAGTGACAGTGACCAAAATCAAATTACGGAGTAGACTGGACATAAGTACCACACTTCGGGTGACGTTGTCTCCCGTTACCCCCAGATGGGACCAGGGTAAGAGGGAAACAAGCTCAGGGCTCCTGCTAATTCAGCGGGATGCTGAGTTGTATTTTTATGCACTTCGTTTTCAGTTGTTTCTATACCGGTCCATGAAAATATTGTTTTACATGAAATTGGTTCATGGTGCAAAAAGGGTTGGGGACCATTACACGTCTCCGCATGTCTCTTAACACGCCCTCCCCTCCCCCCCCCCGGTCTGCAGAAATGTTAACGGAATACAACCAGTCCGTGGTGGCAAAAAGGTTGGGGACCACTGGTGTAAAGCACACTGCCACTGGACTCTGAAGTACTGGAGTGATGAGTCACACTTCTCTGTCTGGCAGTCTGATGGACGAGTTTGGCAGATGCCAGGAGAACATTACCTGCCTGACTGCATTGTGCCATCTGTAAAGTTTGGTGGAGGAGGGATAATAGTATGGGGTTGTTTTTCAGGGGTTCGGCTAGGCCCCTTAGTTCCAGTGAAGGGAACTCTTAATGCCTCAGTATACAAAGACATTTTGAACAATTCCATGGTTCCAACTTTGTGGGAACAGTTTGAGGAAGGCCCTTCTGGATGAATGGGCAAAAATTCCCACAGACGCATTCAAAAGCTTGTGGATACCCTTCCCAGAAGAGTGGTGGATGAAATAGCTGCAAAGGGGGGGGGGGGACCAACTCCGGATTGATGTCTAGGGATTTCGAAAGGGATGTCAAAACTTCCTATAGGTGGCCAGATGTTCCATTACATTTGTCCATATAGTATACACAGGGCTGGTGTGTGGCTCTGTGGGTTAGGACTCTGATCCTGTGATCAGAAGGTTGTTTGTTCACATCCCTGCTTGGGTGCTTCAGCAAGATCCATAATCCCAGTTGCTCCAGATACTAGCTGGCCCTGCTTTCTCAGCTGCACATCACTTTGGTTAAAACGACTGCTAAATAAATGAGAATCTAACTGATGTGCAACCACCTGCTTCCAGAGCTCACTGACCTGCGGACAGGACCCATGCTGCATTCCTGGGTAGGTTTTAAAGTGCACATTGGCCGGGTTGAGGAAGCTCTTCAGCTTCTCCACCGTCAGACAGCCGAAGACGAGTGGCACCAGCATGTCAGCCTCCCCATGGCACTGGAGGATCTGCGTGTCCTTGTTGGCGCTGCCCGTCGCACCCTGCGTGAGGTTAGAAGCGGGTTAGCACTTCGTGCCCGTCACCGTAAGGTTGCCGATTCAAATCCCAAAGTCAGCCCAGCGATTTCATAATTGGGCTCTTGAGCGAGGCGCTTAACCCCATTTGCTGCTGGGACCGCCTGACCCCGCCTTCAGCTGAGCGTCGATTTGGATAAAAGAGTGATAAATAAATAAAAGTGGAAATGTTTTTGAGCGGAGAATCATGCTTCAATTCTCTGAAACGTGTAACACTAATCGCGCTTTTCCACTGCCACCAGAAATCGAGCCGTACTGCGAACTGGCAGCTTTCCATTGTAACGCATGCAAGTCGTACCGGGGTGACAGGGGCCCTGCCTACTCGCAGGCGGGAAATGTGACCAAACCCAGCTGGCTGCATTGCCAGCATCTGATTGGTTAAAATGAACGGGGATATTGATGTTCAGCTCATGAATTATCTGGAAGAAAAAGGGAATATTCTATATATTATCACGATGTATTAATGCATTCTCGATAACTCGGAAACTGTAAATTTCCAACCTCCTCCTTAAAAAAAAGTGTGTACACTGTAAATAAGTTCTTCTTCGGTTTTACGTCACTGTCGGTCTCCAAACCCAGCATCGCCTTTACTGAGACGACCCATCTGCAGTGGAAAACCACAATGAGCTAGAAACCCCGCCCGGTAACTAGACGCTCTTTGCAGTACGCGTCAGATCAAGTATGCCAGAGAAAAAGCACGTTAACAGTTAACAGGGAATGCATTCATTCCCAGCAGCTGTGACAGTCTGCATGTGACAGGGGGGGTTGGGGGGGGGGGAGAGGGTCTCCAATCTTTCACAGGTTTTTAACATATCATTTCAGATACAACGATGCAACGCATTTATATACAGTGAAACAGTAATGATTATTCAGTGAAGTCATCCTGATCCGTGGTTCCCCCAAGGCTCAAGCCCGAACCCTGACAGGCCACCTTAACGGGGACGGTTGATGATGACATATGTGTGGGTGGGGCCATGTCGTGTGGGCGGGGCCAGGCCGTGTGGGCGGGGCCAGGCCGTGTGGCCATCACTGAGCGTGAGCGGAGTACCTGCGGGAAGGAGCCACGCAGAGGAAGCCAGCAGCTGAGCGCCACCACGCCAGCCAGCTTCTGCTGGGACGTCAGAGCCGTGTAGAGGGACAGCGCCCCCCCCTGGCCACACAGAAACACACAGAACAAAAGGCGGCACACTTGTAAATAACTCCATCTCTCTTTGGTACATTGCTAATTAGCTAGCATACACGTGCTGTCGGAACGATTCTCCAAATGTGCCCAAAAATGGTAATATTTCCCAAAACAGAATTTTAATAAAGTTAATAAAAAATAATGATATATTTCAACCTAAATTAATGGAGTGTCACAGAACATGAATAAATTATTAGAAGGTCCAATCCCAGAATCTACTAGAATTTTCCAGAACCCCACAAGCACTCCGCCTAGCCAGCATTTACACAGTATGCATTAGTACTTTACACGCTGTCACTTATCAGCCCTGATATGAGTCACTCATCCCTGCTGTACACCCAGACACTTCAATGGTTCTGCCTCATCACCCTCATCATCCTCCAACCACAAAACATTTAGCTATCGGACTTAGCGTAATTGATCCTCGTTAACCAATCAGGCGGCCAGACACATTACACAGGAAATTCACAAGCAAAATGCATCTCATTCTAAAAACTCATACTTTTAAGCGCAAGATAATTGCTTGATTTTAAAACCATTGGATACAAATGGCCATTCAACACAAAGCTTGTAGTACCCATACTGTTATTTGATGTACTACTAATATAAACCCTGTACAAAACAAAGATTATTTCTGTGTATGTCCTGGATAGAGCCGGAAGACACATCATCCTTTATTGCTGAATGCATCTCAGTTAAGTTGTACAGTGTGGTTTAATATTTAATACTTCCCCCATCAGTGAATAACGCCTGAGGCTTTTATTTGTGGGTGAGGCATTCAGCTTGGCATAAATTCTCAGACCTCAGATGTTACACATGAGCTGACAGCAAGCCCAGTTTCTCCTTCCTCTTGATGAGGCAGGGGAAGTAGTGGACGAGGAAGCCCGGCTCAGAGATTGACGGTACCTGCGAGAATCCGCCCACGATTATCCGGTGGGCAGGGATGCCGTTCTTAACCTCCTGGTCTATCAGCGACTTTACTGCAAAAGCACACAGATCGCAGTGGGAATATATTCTAGGGCAGTGATTCTCAAGCCCCCCTTGGGGGGCCCCAGACATCCACATTTTTGCTCCCTCCCAGGTCCCAGCACACTTGTACCTGGTATTCAGAGTTCCTGATTGGTTGGGAATTTGGCAGGAGCAGAGATGTGGACCCTCTGGGGGCCCCAAAGGGCTGGGGCTGAGAGACTCTGTTCTAGGTTGAATGTCTGATGAAAGTCAGGCAAACAAATATGCTTTAATTTAAACTTAAACCATTCTGCTGACATTGCCTCAAAAGGGTCAATCATAAACTGCCGATTTCATGCCTTTTCTATGGTTTTGAGAAAAGGTCTGTGATCCCCTTGGAAATAGGATTTCAGCATTACTGGCCTCCAAAGTCACAGATCTTCATTTGTCATCATAATAAAGAAAGTGTTTTTTAACAAACACCAACAATATTTTATATTTCTACCAAGAAGCATTGTTTTTTTTCCCCCATCTATTATCTGTAATTAGACAAAATTAATAAAAATTCCTTGTTAGACTCATTTGAACTGTTCAGTGTGTCACAGTCATGTTTTGTTACATATGTGTGTAAACAACATGCAGCCAATCAGATCAGAGCTCCAAGGATCACATGACCTACACTTAAGTCACAATCATGGAGCAGGGGATAAACCTACTGTTTTCTGCTGCTTGTTTAATGCCTGATTCATCTTCTTCTGCATCTGGACTAAGACCAATTATATCAAACCTTGGAAGAAAAAAGAAGACACTTTTCATGCACAGAGTACACAATGCAGTGTTGGAAGGGTATTTTAAGGAAAATACCCAATTTTTGTAACCTCTGAAAGTGACTGAGACTCCAGAGATAAAAGTAAAACCCAATATTTGCTACCCATCCCTTCAATGTGCAATTGATAACCAAATGAGACGCTCTCTAAACTGGCTGGTATCTACAGTTCAACAAGCAGAGCATTTCGCCCACAACGCAAAGGTGGTGGGTCCATATCTCAGGGAACACAGATAAATTGTAACCTTTCCCTTTATTGTAAGTTGATTGGATAAAAGTGTCAGGATAAAGGAAAAAAAAAATGTAACTTTTAAGAAATAAATCACTTGTTAATGTGACTTGGAAGCACGCAGATTAACCACAGGCTCGCCGAAACTGTGTGAATTCAAGAAGATACTAAGGAATGAGCTTACCAAGAAGGCATCGTCATCTTCATGTTCAACGTGACTGGCATGAGTGGCCTACATAGTGGAGTATGGTGAAAGAGAGATCATGTCATTCATGTAGAAGACATCCTAGATGTTCATATATCTCAAATGATTCATCAAGTCTAAGAGATATCTCCTGAATCACCTTAACTTGCTTCCTAGGCAGCAAAGAACCTCACACTCAGATTGCAATCAGGAATGCCATTAACTATAGTGGTTCTGAATAACGCACATTGACTGCAAGAGTTTGAACTCTGTCCCAGGATGCTTTTTGGATCCACTGACTTGCCGTATATACTGATATCATCTGGGCGTCACCAAAAAACTGAAGCGAAGGGCGATATTTAAACAGGACTTACGCATGGGGGCAAATGTATTTGACGTGGGGGGTCCTGATTCCAGCAAAAGCCTCCGCCCATCCATGCCTGACGTTTGGGAATTGGGTTTGGGAGAAACATGATTACAGAAAACGAACATTCCTCCTGTAAAGGGTGCTAAAATTCAAATGAAGTAAAGACATTACCAATAGAGACAAGTCTAGATGTAGAGGTAATACACCTACCCAGTATCTCCAAGTCCATGGAGAAATATTACCTACAGAAAAAAAATTACAAAAGTAATGCATCCATATTTGAATCTGTATGTTCTTCATTTAATTGGAACAGGAATTTGGGATCTGTTTATACATCCAGCAGCAGATAATGCAAAAGCTGGCTGGCAATCAACAAAGAACCAATAAACTGGATGCAATATTACAGCTGCAACTTTCCAAGCAGTCCTTTCACAATAAACTTGATGCCGCAATCGAAAAACCTCCAACACAAAACTACTTTAATACAGCATCTGGCTGCACCTAATGGCCATTTTTAGCCGCATTTTAGTTTTGCAATTCAATGTAGCCTTATAAATATATTTTTTTTAAATCGTAACATTATTGTGAGAAACATTACAACATCATTTGAAGCAAAAATTGCTTCGGATGTATCGGTACGCCGGAAGCTAGGGCGATCAGCGAGTCAATATTTAGTGCAAGTTAATACCCACCACCCCCCCCGCTCCCTCCACCCCCGTCCTGCGCAAACCATCACCGACGCTTGGTGCACCGACTTACCGCCGCGGTGGCTTTCCGAGCGGCCGGTACGATGGCAGGAAGCGGCGCTGACATGTTGTTACCGCACATACAACACGCTGGAGGCTGACATCCAACAAGAGAAATACCGATATATGACAGCTGATGAAGGGAACCTGGACACCTTATTCCTCTTTCCTTTTACGTCCGATCTCTGTTACTCATTGGCCGACAGATTCCTTCATATATCGACGCCTGGTTTGTCGCTTAATGTGCAAGGATCAGACAGCCGACTGCCCGTCCGTGCTGCCCGTACCGCGCTGTCAGGTTTAAGGTAAAAGAGGAGGCATCCGTAACAAGCCCGACGCGAGCTGCTTATGGCCACTGACACGGTTTTTCGGAAATCCCGCCTCCGCCGCGTATCGATTGGGTAACGGATTTCCCTCTGTGGGAATCCGGCCTATCGTTTGGTGAATCAGACTGTCAATCCGAATATTCCCAGCCGAATACTCTCAGTTAGTTTGTAACCACTCTTTAAATACAGTACATGTGTGAACTGTTTAAGACCTTGAATTGTGTAGGTCAAATTCAAAGAGACTCAGGTTGCACTACTGGGTTTCTGGACTGCCTCATACTATGTATGCGTATATTTGAATCTGCGTGCTGTAATGGGAATGTACCGCATGTCCCCGGGAACTGCGGTGAGCTAATTAAATCTAATTAATTGGGTCTATACATCACGGCCGTGAAGGGAAGAGGCCACGGCAGACGCGACCCAATCAGGAGCAAAACTGTAAAACACGTCCCTACTGTACAAAGTCCCTCTGGATGTGTTAATGTCTCTGGATATTACCATTTCCAGACACATTATTAAGTCAAAATCCAAACTTAGCTATCGATAAATTAGACTGGAATAATCATTAATTGTGACGCTAACCGTTTAGTCTCTCAGTATGCTGAAATGTGTTTTTTCACGTTGACTTGAATTTGAATTAAATTACTTAAAATAATTGAAGCAGCAAAGACGGACAGCAGCTGTTTCATTATGTATTATGTTATGGGTGTCTCCCTGGAAATTGACTGAATGATTAAACCTGCCCAGCAGACATACGCATCATATAAAGTCGCTTACTTTTTCTGTGCGCTATAAACAATGTGGTAATTGCGAGTTCAGAATAATACAGTGTAAAATAAAGACCATCCCAGAATTAATTGATATTTTTTGTACTAACGTACTGTATACTGTACTAAAACACACGACTTCCGTGTCGTCACTACCGTAAAGTGAAACTTCCGGTCGATGCCGCATGGCTAGGCGGTGTTTTTACGACACTTGCCCTTGGTTATTGCAGTAGCATAATACTACGAAATAAACTGCTGCATCCTCAGCTATGTCTGCGTCAAAGACAACGGGAGGAAAAGCAATTGACATTTTAAGAAATCTTCCTCGAATAAGTCTAGCAAATCTCAGGCCAAACCCCGGAGCACGGAAAACTGTAAGTTTGCGAGAGTCTGCTACCTGCTGACCTCGGAAAGGTTCTTCAGATACCTGGAGCTACTGCTTTTTGGGGATTGATTAGAATAAATGTTCAGATGTTTAGATCGTTACATTAATTTGTTATGCATGGCTCTCTTTCATTGTTGATATAACGTGAACCCATACGTTTCAATGTATGGCTGAGATAGGTTTTGCTACCCTTTAGTAAGTAAATATTATATGAAGATAAAAAGACAATTTAATAAGTAGTAGGGAGGGGAATTTATCTTGCAATGACTGTTTTTGTAATCTAAGTTTATATTTTGTTACATTGTTTTTAGAGGGTGTGTATTGCCATAGCAGTACAATGTTAACTATATATTGAAACAATATATTTTGTTCATTTTTAACGTATTCTATTCAGATGTCCTTTTGGGTCGTATTTTACTTGGGCCTATCCCTGAGTATACATTTAATGAAAATAGATTTATTAATCTTTCATTAATTAGGGCTAAATCAGGCGGATCGATTGCCTTCAATAAGCACCGCATCTCTTTTTGGCATTGTGAAAACGCATGCTTCCAGCTGCTGTTGTGCATGAGCCGGAAATTGTAACATGTTAAGTTTTTTTTTTTTGAACATAAAAGTGTAGCGTTCGATAAAAGCACATTTTGTAGGAAAGGCGGCGTGGAAGAGGCGCACACGGAGGAAACAAAAGCGGTCGCGGCCACAAGGGGGAGCGCCAGCGCGGAAATCGACCGCGCCTGGGCTTCGAGGGGGGACAGACGCCCTTTTACCTCGCTATCCCCAAATATGGATACAACGAAGGCCACAGGTACCTGAGCAAAAGCCTCTTTCTGTGACGTTAATAATCATTGGGTTTATTTTATTATTGCTTTAAATTATTAGTTATTAGCAGGGTAAAGCCTCCCATCCTGCTTAATTTTATTTTCTAGTCTGAGACCACAATACCAGCCATTGAGCCTGAGAAGACTTCAGTACTTGATAGATCTGGGTAGAGTGGACACCTCCCAGCCCATCGACCTCACCCAGTTGGTAAACGGCAGAGGTGTGACTGTGCAGCCTCTGAAGAGGGACTATGGAGTCCATTTGGTGGAGGAGGTGAGGAGCTCTCTCTGTATATGCAGATATACGGTACTGTTCATAATGGGTATGTTTCACAGGTAATGTATGGTAATAGCTACAAAGATTAAAATATGCTTCTTTGCAGTTATTCTGCTATTTTAATATATAATCTGAATGTTGCATTGATGGATGTTGGATTATTAGTAATGAGCAATAATAAAGATGTCCTCTAGGTGGCAGTATTTAATCATACTTCAGTGATATCCAACCCTAGGTGGTCTGCTTGGCACTTTTCTTCCATTCCTCCTCTTCACTGCCTGGAATGGCTCTGACGTTGTCTTGTCATGTGAAAGCTTCTTCAGAAAATGTACTCTGTGTAATTTTTGCGTGTGGTTTCAGGGTGCTGACATCTTTTCGGCAAAGATCAACATCGAGGTCCAGAGGGCTACCGAGGGAGCGGTAGCGGCTATTGAGCGGAACGGGGGAGTCATTACAACGGGATTTTACGATTTCAGGAGTCTCAGTGAGTGTCCACTGGGTGCCTCAAGCAGCATGAATTCCCACGCTAATGTTGAAGCCTCGATGCTAACTTCCATTGAACTTGGTGTGTGTTCGTCGTTTCCATATTACAGCGATCCTGTGCAAGCCTGTGCCGTTTTTCCTGTCCGGCCAACCAATTCCCAAGAGGATGCTTCCCGGCGAAGACATGGTCAGATATTACACCGGAGCGGAAAACCGTGGCTACCTGTCCGATCCGGAGGAGGTGGAGAGGGCCAGGCAAGAACTGGCCCAGAAGTATGGCTACGTTCTGCCAGACATCTCCAAAGACGAGCTTTTCCACATGCTCTCCATTAGGAAGGACTGTCGGCAGATCTTCTTTGGACTCGCTCCCGGTTGGGTCGTCAACATGGCCGAACGGAAGATCCTCAAGCCGACGGACGAGAAGCTCCTCCGTTATTATGGCTCGTAGTGGAACTGGAGGCGTTAATGAGGATGATCGTGGGTTGTAATTACAGCACTGTAAACCACGTGTCCTGGAATCGCATTTCAGCTACTGCGTCGAACTGTTATTGCCAGCTGGAGGAAATGTTTTGCAGGTGTAGCCGTTATCCAGAATTAAGTTATGCAATTAAATTGATAAAGGTAACAATAATAAGTGGTAGGTTTGATGTGATTTGCAGCACTTTGGGATGGGAGGTGAGTTTTTGGTACAGGCAGTGGGGAGATGGACATTAGATCTGTGGCTTGTCTTTGATTTGGTCGTATCATGTGTTAGATATTTCCCATCGGCCCTGGCTGTGCTATTGAGCATCTTAGCCAAAGACAACTCGCTCCCTGTTTGGTCGCCACAGAGACGGAAGGAACAGGACTCACCGCAGGTGAAAGGGAAGTGAGGCAAGGCGAGTGATCCCGACTGAAAACAGGAAACAGATGCCTTATGGGGGGCTCCACGCGTCTGAGCCATCAGGGGGAGAACGTGGGATTAGTCATTAGCAGCTGCGTCCTGGCTGGGGTTTTGGGTTCAGTCAGGGGCCCAGGAACGCCAGCCTGCCAGATTACCCCGTGAAATCCGGATCAGATACCAGGCATTTTTTATTTCTCTGAGCACAATGATAAAAGAATGCTAGGAATGTTCAGTGTTGGCACTTGGGGAGGCGGGAGAGGAGCCATACTTGCTGTTTTGAGAGAGATTGTCAGACCATTCTTGGAATTCCATACTGCGTCCCGACTGGATAAGGTCTGATGTTGGATAAATGCCGTAAATTTCTTGAATGGGCCGAAACTCTAGATTGACCTATCTCTTACTTTTTTCATTCTCAAGGTTACATGTTCCCCCATAATCATCTTTTGAAAACAGTGTTTACCTAATGCTGTGGACATGTTTGCTTGTCAAGCCACCATTTAACCTGCAACTTTGTTGTGGGGCAAGTGGAAAATAAAAGAACATAAATGTGCCGTGTCTGTGTTTCTGTGTGTTAAGGCCGGATTAAAAGCATCTCAGACCAGGAGGACTTCCCTAAGTAAATGTCTGTCAGCCATTATACACAAAGAAACAAACAAATAGCTATTTGTAGATTGCTTTTAACCTGGGTGAGTAATTAAGGTAGTGATTATCTGATATTCACTGTTATTCCCAACAATAACTTGCCATTTATTACATTCTGTATGACATTAATTGCACAGGGCGTAGATTATTTCTATTATATTCATTTTCTCAAGGGTTTTCCTTAAATGTTAAATGGATAATATGTTTGAGCTGCACTACAGGTCAGCCTGCTCCCGATAAAAGGAATGTGTTGAAATGTTACTTGCAAAACCTACACATGCAATTACCCCTGTTTAAGGGTAGAATGAAGCACTCAGAAAATGAATTGTATGCTTCTCCTGCGCTGTTTATATATATATATATATCTATATATATATATGAAATGGGGTATGCTTATACTTGGCGCGCTTGCTATTAATAGAGCAGTATTTAACGACAGTATTGTTTACAGAGATGTGGCCGTAGAAATGAAGTTTGTACGACGGGGACCTTTATCAAAGGAAGCATATGTTGGTGTGTGCGCTGGCTGCAGTCATTGTGTAAACTGGTACACGTAGTTCTCACTGCCACCGTCTTCCTGATTTCACAGTGATTTTACTCACAGCGACCCCTACAGGATAGTCAGTGCAAATGCCAAAATACGGAACTCAATTCATTTACCTTCGTAATTAGATGTCAATTCAAGTGGGCTTTATTTTCATGCCATCCTTTCACTGGTTTAGAGCGGCATGGAAGAGAACCCCCCCCCCCCCCCCAGGACCATGGGTAACTTACCAGCAGCAAGTGGCGAGGGGAGG